GTTTTGTAGTCCTTATAATTACCATTGCTGTTGCTAGTAATACAGTTTTTTCCTTTTGGATGTTGTACGACGCTGCCACTTCGGTCTCCGTGGTGTTCTTCAATGTTGGCATCCTCTGTTTATTTATGTTATTTGTGAATGTTGGTTTGCCTTGAACTTGTTCTTGCATAAGTTGATGGTGTTTTTTATCGCAAATTGTACATCTTTTTTTTATTCAAGCACAATTTACTAAAATGCCCACTCTGAAGGCAATTAAAACATAATTTAGTGCTCATAATCTTTTCACGATATTCCGGCACCTTCATATTCAGAAACTTTGAATATCGAATTATGGTAATTGATGGTTACCATTACACACCAAACATAGCGTATGTATTGTAGTTACATGCGTTTTTGTATTTACAGCTGTTGATCGAAAGTTATTCTCATTTTCACGATTTGTGTCATGAGTTGTCTCCAATCCTCTAACTCTGCTCTCAATAAACTCGTATAAGCTGCTCAATTTTGGTGTTTGTGTTGATGCTCCTCTTGAATGTTGGTATAATTTTCTGAATTTACCATTTAATTTTGGAAGCCGTATCTATATTATTACTGGATCTCAACTTGACGTGTCCACATTTAAATTACGTATACAATAAAACACTTCTCTAAAATCACCCTTTTATGTTTTTAAATCCTGTGCATTTTCGTTTCTTATTGCTCTGAGCGACAATAACTTATTAATAATGAATGATTAATAAGGAATGATGCTGACTACGATCCCTGAGGAGCCATTTGCTACCATCACAGCCGATTTTATGGGATCACTACCGCGATCGAAAAATGGAAATCCAATGCTGCTGGTGATACTAGATAAATTTTCGAAATGAACGGAGTTGATAACCATACGTCGAGCGACATCCGACAATGTGATCAAAGCGTTGAGAGAAAGAATATAAGCCAATTCATTAGTAATGTTTTCAAGCAGTGGTTGGTAAAGATGGGTATTACACACAGAACCACAGCATCGTACATGCCACAGGAGAATCCTACTGAGCGTGCGAACCGAACTATTAAGACACTGATGTCACAAACGGCATGCGACGAACATCGTACGTGGGTCGAGATGCTGCTGGAAATCACTTTAGCCATTAACACTGCGAAATCGGATTCAACAAATTACACTCCAGCCTATCTAGTGCAATGGCGAGTGTTGAGACTCCCCGCCAACTTGTTCGTCGAATGCACCCCAGGAGCAGGAAATCTGCAAGTAACCCCTGTAGTGAAAGCCGAGAAACTACAACGTGTGTTCAAAATCGTCCAACACAATCTACAACAAGTCGCAACAAATCAGGCGAAGTATTATAACTTGCGTCGTCGGAATTGGAGGCCGTGGATAAATCAATTAGTGTGGGTTAGACAACATTCCCTCTCAAAGGCCAAAAACTATTTTTCAGCGAAACTTGCACCAAAATTCGACGGTCCATTCAAAGTACAAAAATTTATATCGCCAGTGTTAGTAGAGCTTAGCGCAGAAAATACAGCAACATTAACTAAGGCGCATATTGCCGACCTTAGGGTGCACTATGGTTGTCCTTAAAATATAAAGGACATTAACACTTATGTACCGGCAAAGTAACTGCAACATAAAACAAATACCCGCTATCTATTCAAGTATTTAAAGAACGTGTGCCATGAGGAAGTTCTCAGTAGTCGTTTGAACTAACAACGAAATTTGAAATTTCCGCGGAAAAGTTTCGCACAAGAATGATCGAAATAAACAACAGTAGAACAAAATGTCAATACTTGCCGAAGCCTGCAGCAATCAATAAAAACTCCAAGAATATGTTGAAGCAAAGTACAAAAAAATCGTCAAGCGTAAGGTGGGTCCAAGTGACTCCAGCCAGCACCAACATCCAATAGCTGAAAATAGTCAAGCGATTCCAGGTATTACTTCAAGTGACAGGAATCAAGCATCTACGGCTCAAGGGAGGAGGTTAAAAATAAGAGCGTAGTAATCACAGCAGCGGAACCTTCTGCAAAAGGAATAGGTAATTATGTCGCTAATACAAAAAATCCAACGTGTTACGTTACGTCACTAATGGCAGGAACAATATCGACAGAACCCAGTTCCAGTGAATCCTGCATAACTCACGCAATGGAACAAGAGGATGTGATTGATCTCGATTACGACTGACAACAAATGGAGCTGGAGGAGAATGAGATCGCATGCCCCAAACAAAAAAGGGTTTGCATCACTTGGCCGGCGGAGCTGGAATCGACTATACGCGACGCACTTACTTAACATATAAAAGTTAAACGAATTACCTACCGTCGAACGTTCAACAATATACTGTATCTGGTGCGAATTTACCGTCAAGATCTCGTGACTGTCCATAGTCTCCACAAACCGTAAGAAGGAGAGGAATGTACATAAATAAACACTTTACACCTCATTAATTTTTTTATATCCAAAATTGTTGTTATGAAGTCTCTGTTATATATGAATAAAATTGAGAAAATATATTTTATGAGAAATATCTGATACGTATCTTAATGGTCTTGTTTTTAATAAATTAACCCACGTTGGAATTTAATATTTCTGTTGTATAGATTTCCAACAACAATTACCCAGACTACCCACAACTGCAACACGTGAAGTAGTCTGAAGTTAGGAAAATTAAAATTAACATTAAATTGGTAAAATCATAAATACACACCTTCTGGATTTACCACAGCTACTTTAATGTACTTATAAATTATTTACTTGCACATTATTTTTTATAAATCAATAAACGACGTTAAAAATTACAAATACCGGTGCTGGTTATAAAGTCAAAACCAAATAGACAAACGTCAGGATCATCAAGAGAATTCGCCGCAAAGAGACGATCAGAACCACCACCAAACAATAGAAAAAACACTGTAAGTGAGCTACATGAAAAGCTCGTCTGATCAGTATAAAAGGCGACACGTTTCGTTAAGAGGCAGTGAGTCTTGAATGATCACTGAGTGGCATTATATGTCAACCAATAAAATAATATAATAAATATTATCTGACACGAAGGCGGTGGTAAGTCGTAGTGTATAACATATATATAATAAATTACGAGCATAAGGCGGTTTTAAGTCAACGCGCTTGGACACCATTATATGTATATTCAATATATCAAGCGTATATTCTTTTACTTTCTTTCCCAAACAGGTGAACACAGAAACAAGGTGAACCAAGCCAACTACAAGTTTAGACTAAAGACCATTTGCAATTTCACAGAGGTAATCATTAAAAGTAAGACCATTGGGAATTTTTGTTCATGCTGATTTCATTTAATTTCTTTCTTTTGTATATATATTATTGATTTTTTTTATAAATAAATAGTTCTGAAAACTGAAATCACCATCTTTTATTTGAGAAGTCCCGTCCTTGTAAATACAAATTTATTGTAACGACTCCTGGAAAGAGGCTGAGGATACCCCGGTAAAGAAAATAACGAAACGGAAAATTCGTGTCGTTACAACCTAACGTTTCTCGATCATTTTTTAGCAGTAACCTAACGATGTATCGTCCTGTTTTATGACGGGTGCAAGTTGAATCATAATGTCTCTCACAACGCCTTTCTTCTACTGTCCTTAAGTCTGCATTAGGAATTTCCTCTAATTCCTAAAACCGTTTTAATTACTCGTCACTATTGCTGCAAGCCATGGTGCATAACGTTATTTTGTTTGTGATTGTACGCTCTGCATCTAAAGGTCCTGATAATATCCATCCAAATAGTGTGTTTTGAACCATTGGAGAGTTGTCTGGTAAATATTTTCCTGGCGTGAATTCTGCATTCGGCATTTTTTATGTGATTTTTGGTAACACTATTGCTTCTATATGACAGCTCTTATTCTTATCATGTATAGATTGAATTTCTAATGAGCATTTGGCTACAACGCTTGTTGTTTGCCCATTGGTAGCTTTTACATGAGTTTGATAATTGGTCAATGGTGCTCTGATTGATCTTGCTAATTGTTCTGTTATTATACAAGATTGTGATCCTTGATCAAGAAGCGCTCGTATCGGATTGATTTGTTTTGTAGTCCTTATAATTACCATTGCTGTTGCTAGTAATACAGTTTTTTCCTTTTGGATGTTGTACGACGCTGCCACTTCGGTCTCCGTGGTGTTCTTCAATGTTGGCATCCTCTGTTTATTTATGTTATTTGTGAATGTTGGTTTGCCTTGAACTTGTTCTTGCATAAGTTGATGGTGTTTTTTATCGCAAATTGTACATCTTTTTTTTATTCAAGCACAATTTACTAAGGCAATTAAAACATAATTTAGTGCTCATAATCTTTTCACGATATTCCGGCACCTTCATATTCAGAAACTTTGAACATTGAATTATGGTAATTGATGGTTACCATTACACACCAAACATAGCATATGTATTGTAGTTACATGCGTTTTTGCATTTACAGCTGTTGGTCGAAAATTATTCTCATTTTCGCGATTTGTGTCATGAGTTGTCTCTAATCCTCTAACTCTGCTCTCAATAAACTCGTATAAGCTGCTCAATTTTGGTGTTTGTGTTGATGCTCCTCTTGAATGTTGGTATAATTTTCTGAATTCACCATTTAATTTTGGAAGCTGGATCTCAACTTGACGTGTCCACATTTAAATCACGTATACAATAAAACACTTCTCTAAAATCACCCATTAATGTTTTTAAATCCTGTGCATTTTCGTTTCTTATTGCTCTGAGCGACAATAACTTATTAATAATGAATGATCAATAAGGAATGATGCTGACTACGATCCCTGAGGAGCCATTTGCTACCATCACAGCCGATTTTATAGGATCACTACCGCGATCGAAAAATGGAAATACAATGCTGCTGGTGATATTAGATAAATTTTCGAAATGAACGGAGTTGATACCCACATGTCTAGCGACATCCGACAATGTGATCAAAGCATTGAGAGAAAGAATATTAGCCAATTCATTAGTAATGTTTTCAAGCAGTGGTTGGTAAAGATGGGTATTACACACAGAACCACAGCATCGTACATGCCACAGGAGAATCCTACTGAGCGTGCGAACCGAACTATTAAGACACTGATGTCACAAACGGCACGCGACGAACGTCGTACGTGGGACGAGATGCTGCTGGAAATCACTTTAGCCATTAACACTGCGAAATCGGATTCAACAAATTACACTCCAGCCTATCTAGTGCAATGGCGAGTGTTGAGACTCCCCGCCAACTTGTTCGTCGAATGCACCCCAGGAACAGGAAATCTGCAAGTAATCCCTGTAGTGAAAGCCGAGAAACTACAACGTGTGTTCAAAATCGTCCAACACAATCTACAACAAGTCGCAACAAATCAGGCGAAGTATTATAACTTGCGTCGTCGGAATTGGAGGCCGTGGATAAATCAATTAGTGTGGGTTAGACAACATTCCCTCTCAAATGCCAAAAACTATTTTTCAGCGAAACTTGCACCAAAATTCGACGGTCCATTCAAAGTACAAAAATTTATATTGCCAGTGTTAGTAGAGCTTAGCGCAGAAAATACAGCAACATTAACTAAGGCGCATATTGCCGACCTTAGGGTGCACTATGGTTGTCCTTAAAATATAAAGGACATTAACACTTATGTACCGGCAAAGTAACTGCGACATAAAACAAATACCCGCTATCTATTCAAGTATTTAAAGAACGTGTGCCATGAGGAAGTTCTCAGTAGTCGTTTGAACTAACAACGAAATTTGAAATTTCCGCGGAAAAGTTTCGCACAAGAATGATCGAAATAAACAACAGTAGAACAAAATGTCAATACTTGCCGAAGCCTGCAGCAATCAATAAAAACTCCAAGAATATGTTGAAGCAAAGTACAAAAAAATCGTCAAGCGTAAGGTGGGTCCAAGTGACTCCAGCCAGCACCAACATCCAATAGCTGAAAATAGTCAAGCGATTCCAGGTATTACTTCAAGTGACAGAAATCAAGCATCTACGGCTCAAGGGAGGAGGTTAAAAATAAGAGCGTAGTAATCACAGCAGCGGAACCTTCGGCAAAAGGAATAGGTAATTATGTCGCTAATACAAAAAATCCAACGTGTTACGTTACGTCACTAATGGTAGGAACAATATCGACAGAACCCAGTTCCAGTGAATCCTGCATAACTCACGCAATGGAACAAGAGGATGTGATTGATCTCGACTACGACTGACAACAAATGGAGCTGGAGGAGAATGAGATCGCACGCCCCAAACAAAAAAGGGTTTGCATCACTTGGCCGGCGGAGCTGGAATCGACTATACGCGACGCACTTACTTAACATATAAAAGTTAAACGAATTACCTACCGTCGAACGTTCAACAATGTACTGTATCTGGTGCGAATTTACCGTCAAGATCTCGTGACTGTCCATAGTCTCCACAAACCGTAAGAAGGAGAGGAATGTACATAAATAAACACTCTACACCTCATTAATTTTTTTATATCCAAAATTGTTGTTATGAAGTCTCTGTTATATATGAATAAAATTGAGAAAATATATTTTATGAGAAATATCTGATACGTATCTTAATGGTCTTGTTTTTAATAAATTAACCCACGTTGGAATTTAATATTTCTGTTGTACAGATTTCCAACAACAATTACCCAGACTACCCACAACTGCAACACGTGAAGTAGTCTGAAGTTAGGAAAATTAAAATTAACATTAAATTGGTAAAATCATAAATACACACCTTCTGGATTTACCACAGCTACTTTAATGTACTTATAAATTATTTACTTGCACATTATTTTTTATAAATCAATAAACGACGTTAAAAATTACAAATACCGGTGCTGGTTATAAAGTCAAAACCAAATAGACAAACGTCAGGATCATCAAGAGAATTCGCCGCAAAGAGACGATCAGAACCACCACCAAACAATAGAAAAAACACTGTAAGTGAGCTACATGAAAAGCTCGTCTGATCAGTATAAAAGGCGACACGTTTCGTTAAGAGGCAGTGAGTCTTGAATGATCACTGAGTGGCATTATATGTCAACCAATAAAATAATATAATAAATATTATCTGACACGAAGGCGGTGGTAAGTCGTAGTGTATAACATATATATAATAAATTACGAGCATAAGGCGGTTTTAAGTCAACGCGCTTGGACACCATTATATGTATATTCAATATATCAAGCGTATATTCTTTTACTTTCTTTCCCAAACAGGTGAACACAGAAACAAGGTGAACCAAGCCAACTACAAGTTTAGATTAAAGACCATTTGCAATTTCACAGAGGTAATCATTAAAAGTAAGACCATTGGGAATTTTTGTTCATGCTGATTTCATTTAATTTCTTTCTTTTGTATATATATTATTGATTTTTTTTATAAATAAATAGTTCTGAAAACTGAAATCACCATCTTTTATTTGAGAAGTCCCGTCCTTGTAAATACAAATTTATTGTAACGACTCCTGGAAAGAGGCTGAGGATACCCCGGTAAAGAAAATAACGAAACGGAAAATTCGTGTCGTTACAACTTAACGTTTCTCGATCATTTTTTAGCGGTAACCTAACGATGTATCGTCCTGTTTTATGACGGGTGCAAGTTGAATCATAATGTCTCTCACAACGTCTTTCTTCTACTGTCCTTAAGTCTGCATTAGGAATTTCCTCTAATTCCTAAAACCGTTTTAATTACTCGTCACTATTGCTGCAAGCCATGGTGAATAACGTTATTTTGTTTGTGATTGTACGCT